CACCGAGTCCAGCAAGAAAGAACCTGAACCTTCAGTGAAGGACTCTTATAGAGTCCTTACAAAACCTACGAAGAGTTCTGACAAAGTCTCGGAGTCAGGTGACATTCTCAAAGATCTGGAGTGCTAAGTCGGAAACCAAACTCACCGGCCACTCCTTCCGGGTTGGAGGAGCTTCTCTTAGATGGAACCTAGGTGTGTCATTGAGCAACATAGTGGCAATTGGCCGGTGGAGGTCTAAGGCGTATGAATTCTATATTAGGCAGTATACTGAGGAGGACATGAAGGATTGTCAAGAGTTACTGATACAGTTGCAATTATCGTGATCAGCACTGGATGGCAGTGCCCCGCCCCGTTTCCTGTTGTGAGTTCCTGGACGCGAGGTATTCGGGGATGATGTGCGACCCGGCCCATAGTAGATGGGTGTTCTCAGACTCAGGCCTATGTCCCGAGTTGTGGGGAAGAGCTCCCCATCTACGAGGCCCGGGTCCTACCCCCCTTACCCGTACCGGATAAGGGGCCCCCCAAAAGACCTAATGCCTCCTCCACGGAGCCCTTGGGTTTGTCTAGGATAAACCGGGTCTACATGTAATACATATTGGTTAAATGTGCAATTGCGTCCTAGTCCCAACTCTTCCCGATAGTGATATGAGAGAGAGAGTGGAATTGGTTAAATCAACAACTCGGTACGGCTTGTCACTGTTGCCCCACGCCAAAAGCAACTCCCTCTCTCCCCCGTGACTCCGGTTGACTCTAGGATAGGGGGTTAGGGAGGGGGATCAAACACCTGCTCAGCGCTGTAGATACCACAAGAAGTTAGAGACTAAATGACTCTGTACTTACACTGAATTCCGAGAGGGTGTGCTTGCACGAAGGTGTTTACAGAGGGTCACCGCAAAGAATTGGAGCCTGCGCGAAGCGCGGAAAAATTCCGCGCGGATTTTGACAGTGCGGAATTCATACTGAGCTGTACAGACAGCACTCAAAGAGCACCGTCTGGATTGGGAAGGTGGCTTCCTTCAAACACGTTTCATCCTAAGAAGAGGGTTGGGCAATAAAAACGATATGTACAAACGTAGAATGCTGGGTACACAACTAAAGAGATAGGGAACCGCGAGAAACAAGGTCTATCAGTGTTCTTGGGAAAGACCTCATCTCGATTGTTGATGAAAGGTCAAAAGGTTGAACCAAAAAGAAGGAAGGTGTATGTTGTTGATAACGCTTGCTCTGGTGCACAAAACGACGGTCACTCTGATATTCAGATTGTTTACAATTGACACGTATCGTTTACTCTTTCACTTGATTGGAGTCCTTTTGTTTGAAATTCAAGATCGAGCATTATGTTGGTCTTTGTTCTACTGTATAGTTTGTCTTACACTTGTGGTGCGTTATCTTGAAAAATCCGAGATCAGATAGACAGATCTATCTTGAAGCCGCATCGATTGTTTTCTAAGATCATCATTTCATGATGGATTGTTCAAGTCAATCAAGTACAACAATTACTGTGATCAAAGTTTTGAATGATATCATTTGTTATCATTCGAGACTTTGATAATTTCAAGATGTTATCAGTGATAACATTGTTTCTCAATTATGCTTGGTGGATGCTGTTGAAGTGATCTGATACAATAAAGTCCGTCAAAATCGAATTGAGATCCTTACTGATCATGATCATCTTTCTTTAATTTCAATCTGCTTCAATACAATCAGAGAGCAGCTGGTAAATCGGGGTGAAAAGTTGTTGGCTTGTTGAGAAGTAGCTCGGCTGGATTTTTTTTGTTGGATGATAGGTGTGGTTGGAACAACCTGCATTGGCAGTAGCTTCAAAATGTCTTTCTGCTTTGGGATCCTGAAACCAATGTGCTCACCCCGTCTACCCTGTATGTCACCCTGTATTTTCCGCGGTTTCCGCGGTTTCCGCACTTTCCGCCTTGCCTCGGGGAGGCTCCGATGCTCTCGGTCACCGCTTTCCTTAATTCGGGTGTGCTAAAAGCACAAAGGTGATTTCAAAGAATAATGATGGTTATTCAAAAAGTTGATGCGATCCACAATCCATAAGGATGGAAACACCTCATTTGAAAAAAAAAAGATAAATCAAGTCGCTCGGAAGTGTCAAAAAAAAAGCGTTGGGACATAAAGCCTTATGCCAAAAAGACGACGAAAACCCTTGCTCCGACTAGATGGCCACTTCTCCAAGGTATACTAGTCCCCTTCTAATTTAACTTGTTTAGATAGTGTTATATGCAATTATGCGGAAATGCACTTTTTTAAAAAAAACGAAATGCACGACTTTCCTGTCCATAGCAGCTTAGGTTTACACAATCATGAAAGCCGTCATACACAGAGGTGGGCGCTTTCCAGGATCCTGTTCACGAGTTAAGCAATGGTAAGCTGGAAAGCGCGCCAAGGCGCGTACGAACAAAGACAATAACCAATAGGGGATCACAGCAAGAAAAGCTTTGCGAAAGTTGCAAAAGCCGACATCCAAAAGCACCAATCCAATCGTTGCTTTTATCGCAAGGACAAAAAAAACCAAATCGGTCTCAGAATACCGGCTATGGCTGCGATTTCGAAAGAGTGTCTGTGCTAACAGGGTTGACTTTTGTTATCAAATCGATTTCTGACTATAAATACTAGCTAGTTTCGCGCCAAATCCTCCGACAAGTAGCTACCCAATCACAACTCAATTATTTCCTTCACAACACTCAATCGCTTCTCAGCAAATCGATTCACAGTATACCACTCGACAATCATACCTAATCAAACTTGCGCTATGCCTACTTCTCAACAAATTCACAACTCTCAGCCCGTTTCTATCCCGGGTAATCTCCCGGCTCCAGAAGTCCGACCTGGTCGGATCGGTGGTCCTAAACTGGGATGCGTAATCCAAGCTCGTCAGGGACAGATCGGTGGCCCTAAATTGGGTTGCTTGCTCTCATAATGAGTTTATCGTGCAAACTACCGTATGCCGTCTTGATCGGGAACCAAAGGTGCAAAATCATTTAGTGGATACCGCCTCGCATCAGTCATCAGTGCGGATACCAACACAACACCAACCCCCTAAGTCATGGCTCAAGCTTGCCTTGTTGAGCTGTCTCAATTCTCGAATTACCAACTTTGGTTCCATAACGGTGTTCTTGTAAGCAAAATTTTTGTGCCGCATTGGCTCCTTGCTAAAGCTATTTCGCAACGATACATTCAATACGCTTGAAAAGAACATCTGATTTCGGTGTGCCAAAACATCTTCCCCACCTTCCTGTCCATTTGCATTCATTATTTGACTCCAGCAAGACGTGAGCCAACACCTGCATAAGCGTTATAAGACAATACCCCAAAAGCGAGTTCTCCAGGAGGGTTTGTACAAGCACCATCATGAAGTGCTCCCTTGGCATGTAAAGTGCCCAAACGTAACAAAGCCCCACCCTTGCCAGGCTTTAGAACATAAGCTATCACAATTCTCAAAGTATGGCTTCTGAGCACCTCAAATTTAGTTATCAGAACGCTGCACCAATCAAAGAAAATAATTTCAGCTTATCATGTAGGAGCCCTGTTGGTTTATGTGTACGGTGGGCTACAATATTCCAAGAGTTCCGTTGAAGTTCAACCTCACCTGGTGTTCGCCAACTGGACAAACCCATTTGGAACAAACCAAGAGTGCGTCATCGTCTATGTTATCTTCCCTTTGTCATACCAAAATAATGTGATCGCACTATAATGTATGGCAAGGTCGAATATAAACAATGGCTGTGCTTGCTCTCTTTCCTAAATTCTTGAATCGGAAGAGAAAGTTTTTTATCCAGAAAGGCTACTCCGGGCTTCTACATTGTCCAATTTCGCGAAGTCAATAATTCTACCTCTCGGTCTGTGATTCTTATGCAAGTACATGACAAGAATAGTATGAAATTACTTTGGGGAGAATTTGATGGGTATCTGCAATCATCAAATGATGGGATTCTACAAGATGGCCAACACAAAGCAGAAAACACAACAGATTCTACATATACGCTGAGGCCTGAGCTTGAACAAAATTAACTTTACATGTCTCAGATAAGGCCCAAGATGATTTAAAAGATTGAAAGATAGGAGCCTAAAAATATATTAATAAAGAAATACAGAAGAAGATGCGAATAAACATCCTGATTGACCTATCAAGCGGAAGGTTTGGGAGTGCCGTTACAAGTCCAGGAGCTCTGTATCATCACAGGTGAAAGACGATCTTTTGATGAGAAAATGACTGCAAAAGACGACCAAAAAAACGCGAGAAAAGACGCTTACGTCACGCTGCTCAGGTTCTCCGATGTCCTGATAGTAATCATCCTGACTTCGACCAGACCCCAAGCATTCAGAGACACTGACTAACCGATATCCAGCCTTCTGCAAAACTTGGACAGCGTGTTGAGACACTTCAGAAGCGGTGGTTTCGTGTGTTTCATGATTGAGCGCTATTTGTGGGGTGGGGAATGATTTGGAAATTTCATCATAAGCTTGATCGGAGGTGGTAGTTGAAGCTCCGGTCGAGTCACCCGAGTCGAATGACCAAGTAACCACTTTGTATCCTCGGCTGTTCAGGATCTGGAGGTTTTCATCGTTGATCCTGCCTGAATGGTGAAAGCGCAGGAAGAAAAGATTCCTTAGGTTCGGCGACATGTCAAATAGAGTGAAGACACCTACCGAAAGGTGGTCGGAAGTATCTCGGCTTGACCCCTAGTATTTCTGAAGGAAGCAAAAGCCACAGTAATCTGGGTAAATGTACCCTCAAAGTCTCTGTGTACCACGGTCATGTGGATACCACTCACTTTTCATCGCAGTCTCAACTAAGTCAAGTTGGATGTTGAAGTCGGCAGCTGACAAGGTCGTGATGTCGGGATGTGACCATGCTGACCATGGTGAATATTCGCGGGCCAAGATAAGTTCTACACTGGAAATATGGCGATTCCCAAGGAAACTATTGAAACTTACTATGCGATCCAATCAGATGTCCTTGCGAAAATGCTGAAATATAAGAGTGTATGAGCAAAACATGCGTAGGGCGAGTAGAAGATTGAAATGACGAGAGGCTCACTGTGTCTCAATTGGTCGACAATGTTTTGATCATAGATGCAGTCATAATTGTAACCATTGATGAAGAAGGTTCCGTGGATTCCACGCGAGCTTAGAAAGTCCGACACTTCGTTTTCATAAATATACGGGCCATCATCGAATGTAAGGGCGAACGTTCCGGAATCTCGGCAGGTTGAGATCACCTTCGCGGAGTTGGCTGAACGGGCATGAATGATTGTGCGAGTATCATCTTGAGTATCTGAGACATTAGGTCCGGCGGGGATTGAATGGCTAGGGTCGATCAGCGCCAAAAGAGCGACAATCAAGGATATGTTCAAAAGTTGAAACATCTCTACGGGGAAGTTCGTAGCTAGGATATAGCCTGTTCGTATGCTTAGGTATTAGATAGTAAATGAAGGGCAAATTGAGCGAGCGAAGACAAATGATAGCAAGTCGATAAAAGAGAAGGAGAAATTCGCCAAGGTGAGGAGGTTGTTGTGGATGACAGGATTGGGAGGGCCCGTTGATATATAAGCGGATCGTAGCCGTAGTCCAAGCATTTGGCCCCAGGGAGGAGAGTTGAAATCAGGGTGCGCAGTTCGCCAAACATCATCAGGTCGATCAGGTTCAGATGGAAATCCTTCCACTTCTCCAATTCTGAAGCAAATCTAGGGCAATTGCGCATTTGAAGTCCGTGCCCAGAAAAGGGCTATCACTGCACTAGAATCACGGACACTCATTTGAATGGAAGATCGCCGACGCGACTGTTGACCACTAAGGGATCACGATAGATGGGATGGTGATACTCAGCACGTCACGGATTATGCTGATATCAGTAGCTTGTACACCTTTCTGCGTGGGATGCTTCTGTCCTGACCTTTGCTTGAGAGAACCAGGGAGGCACGAATTCGTTCACAAGCCTGTAACAGGACCAAATCCAAACTTAACTAAGTCCCACCCTGGACCTAACCACCATCGGGAGATGGTGGTTAGGTCCAGGGTGGGACTTAGTTAAGTTTGGACCAAATCACGGGTAAGATTTAGGAACTGTTAGGGGACTTAAAGAACGAAAACCTCACGGACATAGGGTTCAGAAAAGACTTAGAGCATCCACAGTGGGGGAGCACCAGAGGATTGCCGGAGATTGGGAATGGGATGGGAATGGGAATGGGGTACTGTACAAATGAATTGACGTACAGAATATAGTACCCACCCAATTCGGCATGGCTCCAGCTTTGACAATTCCAGCTAGCTCCCTAGTCCACTGGCTCAAACATGTCCCAAAACAAGGATGACATTCTTCAAAAATGCATTAAATCACAAACGTAGAGATATGATTGCTCCACAACCACATAGACAAAAAAACAAAAAATGGCTGACCTGACTCGAGCGTCGTATATCACTGCAGCACATAGGCCACTTACTGATCCACTTCCCCAGCCTGCTATCAACAAACCAACCGGTCTCAGCTGCCCGAAGTGTCCTCCATTTCAAAGTCAATTGAAGTACGTCTCACCGCATGTCAAAGGCTGGACAGCGGCTCAACATTATGATGATAGCCAGTTGAAAAAATGTACGGTTTTTGAGTAGGCCCATTGCATGAATGTTCACGAAGAAGACGGTAGTGTACGGCTCAGCCTAAACCTCTGGGATGAAACGTGGCGGTCCGTACAGGCTCATACATCCCATTCCCATTCCCGCGATTCCCACCCTCCGGCAGTCCTCCAATTCTCTGGACAGTGGTGGGCTCCAAATCGGGGCTCCAAATCGCGCGAATCAAATTTGGTGGGGCCCCAAATCAATCCGGATGCAGTCGTTCGGACTTCAAAAGTGTAGATTCTATGTGTTTACACACACTTTGAGATTGGTACGCGTGGGCTTACATGTGTGAGGTATGGGATTGAACAAGTGCGGGAATTTGGAGCCCGGCTTTTTGTTGCCAAATATGTAGCCCAAAGCTCGAAATTTGAAGCTGGCTACAAAAAAATTTGGCAATGGGGACTGCCATTGCACCAAAAAATCGGGGCTCAGTCACCAAATTTGGCGATAGCCCCGATTTGGAGCCCACCGCTGTGGATGCTCTTAGTGACTAAATAGAGTTATTTAAGGTTATCTATGATAGTTTTATTTTCAAGTGCTTCTGATTTCACATATTGCACTAACTAACTGAATATGACTAATGTAAGTATGAGAACTATACAACTTCTTTTGAGATGTCTCGTGTAACGGACTACTAAGCTTCACAACAGATTCTTTTTGTAAGAGAAAGAAAAAAAAACCATAACAAAAAAGAATCCAAGTTGAAACAAAGGTAGAAAACTTAGGAAAGCATAAAGAGAAAATAAAAGAAACATGACATAAGAAAAATTTTAACAATGTGGTTTCAGTTATCTAAGTAAGTTTTGATGTGGACAAATCTTTCCATTGCCTGGATGTATTGTGCCAAGTATGGATAAACCTTGGGTGTGTCTAATAATGTTGTAGCTGAGTTTGTGTGGATTTTGATTTTTTCCTCCTTCAATTTTTTCCTAAAGTCTTGACGCTGTTTTGTGAATCTTCTACAATAAATAAGGAAATGTGCCGGTGTTTCTGTTGCAAAACACACTGTGCACTTGTTGTGTTCTTCCGCTCCTATCCGGTGCATAAATTTCTGTAGTGGGCAATGACCACATCTGAGCTGAAAGATCACCACCGCCTGTCCTTTTTCTAATTTATCAATTGCATCAGCTATCCATTTGCCTTCAGTTTCATAGGGTTTAATAGACACAGCTTCCCTTTTATTAAACAACGTTTTTGTATGGCGTAATAGGCCTCCCAAGCTCAACAGGTATGTGTATAAAAATGTGTGTAATGACGGTTTGGGTTTTTGATTTAGTTATTTACCTTTGGTTTTGACGTCATTACCTGTTTATCACTTCTTCCATTTTTACTTTACCATTTCCTGTTTCTAATTACTTCGTCAAAAATCTTCATCAGTCTTATTCTCTTATTCTTCTATTATTTTAAAAGGGTAAAGTGTTTATGTCAGGAGATGGAAACAACTATGATGAAGCTGCAAGGATTACATCAAAATTGGCTGAGATCAAAAGTTGATCGAGATGCTGGTGGTTCCACCAACATATCCATGGTGGAAATCAAAAGTCAATTTGCAGGAGTCTTACCGTTCCATTCAAAGAATTGGTATAGACATTGGTCAAACTTCGCCATTGGACTTGTTAAACTTGATAAAGACGCAGGGCGGAAAATCTTTAAAAATTCTTTACCCGTCCCAACTGCTACTCGGAGATCAAATGCTGAGAAGGTTTTTATCTTCAATCCAAATGATAAGACTCCCTATCCTCCCGATCTGTTGAGACCTGTCTCTCCATCCCATCACATTCAACCTTCTGGAGAGTCTTCTGAAATTCCCAGAGTCTTACGAGCAAGGAGAAAATTGCTGCTCCTAGCAAAACAAAGATAACCAAAGTCGTCTATCATCCTTGCTTTCTCTTCATGTGTCTAATGAGAAGGGAAAGAGGAAAAGACACCATAAACATAAAGAGGACTCTTCAGACTCTTCTTCTGATTCTTTGACAAAATCCAAAAAAAATGCGAAGAAGTACGCATTTATATCTAAAAAGAAGTCAGTCGACGTTCCTACAGGGAAATTCACCCCAGGAGCGTTGTTATTTGCGGCGGATGTTAAAGGTTACGGCACCAGCATCTCACAAGCGGTTAAAGATTTTAACAATGCAGCTAAACCACCCGATTTCCCAGACATACTTACAAAAGATCTGTTATTGGGTAAATTCATTGATGTTAAAAGAATTAAAGAAGAGCTGCTTAATCCAAAAAAAGGAGATACTTTTTACACTGCTTCCGGTAAAGAAAAAGGTCTCAAGATTTTGAAGAATCTTACTCAAGAAATCATCAATTTGGCTGAATGGTTGTATTACTTTGGTATTCTTAAAAAAGCAATTAAAGCTGCATTCCTGGATTGTGAATCTTTTATATCACAATACGGAAAGTATATCAAGTCTCAATTCTGGTCTGCAGGGGTTATGGAAAATTGGAGGAACATTGCAGGATATGATGCAGCTTTTAGGACGCAAGTCGCAAATAGAAAGTATATTTGTTTTGCGGATTGGGACCACAAGGACTGTGAAGTGCTCAAAACAAAATTTTTGGCCGTGCTTATTATCAGCATAATTTCGGTTCTGTTGCTCCTTTCAACCCTGTTGCTTCGAGTTAGTATTTTTCTGTTATGTGGCAAGGTTGTTTCTGGTCTAACATGTGGTTATAGCTTCCTCTGCGCGTCCGTTTAATCAAAGTGTTTCAAGGCAACAGTCGAGTTTTGTTACGAATAGTTCTGTTCAAAAACCTTTTGATCCGGACAAGTATTATTCTGTTTTCAAACATGGGGGGAAATTTCCGATTGAGGATGCTTCGAGGACTCCAAATTCCAAAGAACAGTTCTGTTTTAGTTGGAATAAAACAGGAGTATGTGCTATTGGGCCTACATGCAAGCGTCTTCACTTTTGTGTAGGTTTTTGTTATCAATTTCTCTGTCATAGTAGATATGGTGTTTGATAGTGACTGATAATGGAGCGATTGCAGAACGTCCAGGTATGTCATGCAAAACATTTTGGCCGCGATCACGCCTGAAGAGTATTCTTCAGAGTGTTATCTGCGAGGGTATCAGTGGGATGGTACTTCGCCGATGGGATATTCTGCTGCTATAGAATCCAGTCAAACAGCAGGAACCTGTTGCTGATTCTCCACCTCTTTCTGAAGACATCGACACTGATTTTATATTGAAAGAATACAACCACTTATTTAAAACAAAACTCTGTACAATTTTGATAAGATTGAGAAGCTTTTAGAAACTCATCCGAACCAGCCTTTTGTGCAATCAGTTATGAAGGGGTTAAGAGAAGGCTTTTGGCCTTCTTCCTCGTTACCAACATCCAATATTGCTTATATTGCAAATCATCAAACTTGTTTCGACAATCAAGATTCACTAGAGGAACAATGTGAAGAAGAGATAAGTAAAGGCAGATATTCAGAAGAGTTTTCAATTTTATTACCCGGTATGAAAGTTATTCCTTTGCTTATGACATCAAAGAAAGATTCTAAGAAGATGAGAGTGTGTTCAAATATGAGTTTTGGTAGTCCTTCTCCAAATGATTTGGTTGATAAGAATAAAATTAGAGTTTCTTATGATTCTTTGAGA